TGTGTACTACTGTTTCAGGAGAAACTATTTGTTCTGTAAGCCTTCACCTGAAGTACAATAAAATATAAAAAATAAAATTAAAAAAATAAAAAAAAGAATGAGGACAAACTTAAGACATTCCTGGATAAACAAAAGCTGAAGGAGTTCATTAACACTAGACCTGTCCTACAAAAAAAACGCTGAAGAAAATCATTCAGATAGAAAAAAAAAGGACTCCAGACAATAATTTGAAGCTATACATAGAAAAAAGAAAAAAAAAGATGTCCATTAAAGGCAATTGCAGGGGCAAATATAAAGACAAGTTTTAAGGTATTCTAGTGGTTATATCCATGCTTTACAATGACAAATGCGTGAAAAACAAGTACAATATATGTTACAGGGCACATGATATATAAAGATGTAATTAATGATAACGACATGAACAGGGAGTGGGGGAGAAGTAGTATAGGAATAGAGTTTTTATATGTTACTGAAGTTAAGTTGGTATCACTGTAAACCAGATTGCTGTAAATGTAAGATGTAAAATGTAATCACTCTACTAACAACAAAGAAATTAACTAAAAAATATACACAAAAGGAAAGGAGAAGGGAATTAAAATAGTTCATACAAAAAAATCAACAAAATGCAAATGTTGGTAGTACTGATCTACTATGCCAGGAATGACAAATTGAAGAGGAATGGTACAATCAAGATGCACTGATAACTACTGTTGACTGGGATGTGAAAGTTGGGAACAAAGAAGAATCAGTAGTTGGAAAATTTGGCCTTGGTGATAGAAATGACACCAGAGATTGCATGATAGAATTTTGCAAGACCAATGACTTCTTCAATGCAAATACCCTTTTTCTACAACAAAAATGTTGACTATACACATGGATCTTGTCCGATGGAACACACAGGAATAAAATTGACTACATGTGTAAAAAGAAACGATGGAGAAGTTCAGTATCATCAGTCAGAACAAGGTTAGGGGCCAACTGCAGAACAGACCATAAATTGCCCATATGCAACTTCAAGTTGAAGCTGAAGAAAATTAGCACAAGTCCACAAGAGCCAAAGTATGACCCTGAGTATATCCCATGTGAATTTAGAGACTATTTCAAGAATAGATTTGACACACTGAACACTAATAACCGAAGACCTAATGAGTCATGGGATGACATCAAGGACATCATACATAAGGAAAGCAAGAGGTCATTAATAAGACAAGAGAGAAAGAAAAGACCAAAATGGATGTCAGAGGAGACTCTGAAACCTGTTCTTGAATGTAGAGTAGCTAAAGAGGAAGAAATGATGAAGTAAAAGAGCTGAAAAGAAGATTTCAAAGGGCAGATCAAGACAAAGTAAAGAATTATAATGAAATCTGCAAAGTCCTGGAGTTAGAAAACCAAAGGGAAGAACACGCTCAGCATTTCTCAAGCTGAAAGAACTGAAGAAAAAATTCAAGCCTCGTGTTGCAATACTGAAGGACTCTACGGGGAAAATATTGAACGACACAAGAAGCATCAAAAGATGATGGAAGGAATACACTCATCTATGCCAAGAAATTTGGAAGACAGCTACCTGGCCAGCCAACTGGAAGAGATCCATATTTATGCCCATTTCAAAGAAAGGTGATCCAACAGAATGCAGAAATTCTAGAACAGTATCATTAATATCACATGCAAGTAAAATTTTGCTGAAAAACATTTAAAAGTGGTTGCAGCACTACATTGATAGGGAACTGCCAGAAATTCAAGCCGGATTCAGAAGAGGACGTGGAACCAGAGATATCGTTGCTGATGTCAGATGGATCTTGGCTGACAGCAGAGAATACCAGAAAAATGTTTACCTGTGTTTTGCTGACTATGCAAAGGCATTGAACTGTGCAGATCATAACAAATTATGGATAACATTGCGAAGAATGGGAATGTATAACACTTAACTGTGCTCATGAGGAACATGTACATAGACCAAGAGGCAGTTGCTCAAACAGAATAAGGGGATACTGCATGGTTTAATGTCAGGAAAAGTGTGCATCAGGGTTGTACCCTTTCACCATACTGATTCAATCTGTATACTGAACAAATAATCCAAGAAGCTGGACTATATGAAGAAGAACGCAGCATAAGGACTGGAGGAAGACTCATTAACAAGCTGTGATATGCTGATGATACAACTTTGCTTGCTGAAAGTGAAGAGGACTTGAAGCACTTACTGATGAAGATCAAAGACCATAGCCTTCAGTATGGACTGCATCTCAACATAAAACAAAAATCCTTACAACTGGACCGATAAACAACATCATGATAAACAGAAAAGATAATGAGGTTGTCAAGGAGTTCATTTTACTAGGATCTACTATGAACACCCATGGAACTAGAAGTCAAGAAATCAAAAGACACATTGCATTGGGCAAATCTGCAGCAAAAGACCTCTTTCAAGTGTTAAAAAGCAAAGATGTCACTTTGAGAACTAAGGTGCACCTGATCCAAGCCAGGGTGTTTTCAGTCGCCTTAGATGCATGTGAAAGCTGGACAATGAATAAAGAAGACTGAAGAATTGATGCCTTTGAATAATGGTGTTGGCGAAGAATACTGAATATACCATGGACTACCAGAAGAACAAACAAATCTGTCTTGGAAGAACTATAGCCAGAATGCTCCTTAGAAGCAAGGATGGCAAGACTTCTTCTCACGTACTTGGATATGTTATCAGGAAGGACCAAACCCTGGAGAAGGATATCATGCTTGGTAAGGTAGAGGGTCAGCAAAAAAGAGAAAGACTCAATGAGATGGACTGACTCAGTGACTGCAACAATGGGCTTAAGCTTAACAAAGATTGTGAGGATGATGCAGGACCAGGCAGTGTTTCATTCAGTTGTACATACAGTCACTATGAGTCGGGGCCAATTCAAAGGCACCTAAAAACAGCATAGTCATATGGTCCCATGTAAAAATGTTAAACATGAGCAGAAAGATTTTCCAGTGGACAAAGAACAACGCTGAAGACAATGAAGAAAGTTCTAAGAGCCAAATCTAAATATCAATAATGCAAAAAACAAAACTCTAGGGCCTTTACGTATGATTCAGAATTGTATTAGACCTTACTTATCCTTCTCTGGAAACCCTGGTGGCATAGTGCTTAAGAGCTATGGCTGCTAACCAAAAGGTTGGCAGTTCAAATCTACCAGGTGCTCCTTGGAAACTCTATGGGGCAGTTCTACTCTGTCCTATAGGGTCGCTATAAGTTCGAATTGACTTGACGGCAATGAGTTTGGTTTGGATTTTTTGGTTTATCCTTCTCTGAGTATCTTAGGAAACAATTCAGAACCTGTTTTCCATCCAAAAATAAGGCAATAGTATTTGTCGAGAACCAAACTACTACAGTACAGTACTAAACATTCTCTGTCTTACAGATTCTTACAGGTTTATTTCTTATGAGCAACATACTAATAACTGCCTCTAAATTATTATGGGCTGCCTAAACAAACTGAGTTTTCACCTAACCAAATTATGATTCCTCCACTTAAAAAACCAAATTCCAATGAAAACTAAATAAACAGTATGAGTATGATCCCTCTAATGTCTCATGATGATGTGGAAGATACACAAATTAAAAATAGAAGAAAAAATAAATAAATAGCATATCAGTAAGTATTAACTACAGAGTTCAGTAAGCAACATGCACTTCATATTCAGCTGTATACTATACACCCTACTTCATCAGACAGGCATATTCAATGGCATTACTATATTGCTAAAGTCTCTGTCATTAAATCTAAAGTAATCTGCCAAAGCATTAAAAAGGCAATGATTCTTCACTGAACATGTGTCCGGACAAAGAGAAGTAATTAACTTTTTAAAGTATATTACTACCATGCATATTTTCTAGTTGTATGATAATTTCATTATAAAACTTAGAAATTACACCTATATAAGCTGATACTGCCGAAGATTTTTTGTTATGAAATAATTTAACTGATTTTTCTTCTCTACGTATATTTTCTATTGAAAATACAGCATTACCAAACTACACAGATAGGTAGTTTTTTTTGTCCTCACAACTTAAAATGAACTTAACTTCTCCCTCTCTATATTTTTCATTGAGTTTACATGTTCTGAAAGTAGTCACTATAATCAAATGAGCTAATAAATATCAAGATATCATTTATCACTGTATTTATTCAACTACTGACAACATCTAGTAATATAAGTAGCATATGAAAGTTATTATACTCATACCAGTTTCCTCACCCAAATCATTCCAAACATAATTTGAGGAGGTTGAAACAAAAGGATTAACACAAGGCAAAATTAGTCTCTGTACATATCAGATAAAAATCAAGTGTAGAAAGAATGTATGTAAAGGTGTGTATTTTCATTATTAGAATAATCATAAAATTCATGGCATACCTGTGCTCCATAGATATATTTATCCAACATCTTGCCTCCTATTGTCTGTCCTCCTATATCCCAAACTTGAAGAGTAACATTCAAGTTTCCTAGAATATAAAAAATGAATATAAAATTAAGAATACCAAAAAAGGCAACATTAAATAACAATGCAACAGCTGAACACATTTTCACAGAACACTAAGTCACAATGATAAACTCTGAACCCAATTTGCCTTTTATTCTGCAGGTACATACGGTCAGATATTTGGAATTGTAAAATAATGTTAAAAAAAAACTGATAGTGGGGATCTAGGTTTATCCTTTACCCCAATTCTATGGAAACACATTCACAATCATCTTCAAAACAAAAGAAAATAAAGTAAGCTTTAATTCATAAACTTCTTAAACATTCTAAAAAAAAAAAAAAGAAAAAGAAATTTTTCTTAAAAAGAGAATAAAACAAAGCATACGTGTAGTGAGGTAAGAAATATACTTCAAAAATAAAAAATGAAACTTTGTATATATTAACCCACCCAAATGCACACATGAATTTTGCTATAGGTTCTAAAGAATTCTGCCATAGGTTCTAATCTCTGTAGGTTCTAAAACTCAAAGAAAAATAGCAGACTACAAAAATGTACCCATAGTTTCAACCTGAATGAATCTTTTAAAATTTGAATGTCAGTTTTTACGCGTAATGGTAAAATCAAACCAAACCCACTGCCGTCAGGTCGATTCCAACTCATAGAAATCCTATAGGACAGAGTAGAACTGCCCCATGGGGTTTCCATGGAGCAGCTGGTGGATTCCAACTGCCAGCCTCTTGGTTAGCATCTGTAGCTCTTAACCACTGTGCCACTAGGGCTCTATGTAATGGTAAACATAATTTTAAAACATTACATATTCTCAATTTTAACCTATAAAATATAAACACATTTGACAGCCCTCTTTAGAAGTGATGTAGGATACATATACAGTATATTACTAAATATCATGCTGCATCCATACCTGTTCAAAGCATTTCCACTGAAATAAATTATAATTACATGCCTCAAAGTCTTCATAAAATAATCTTTTACTAATCTTTCCCGTATAAGCCTTACAAAAGCATCTAAAATACTAAAAGGCAATCTTAAAAATTCTTGTATGCATTTTGTAAAATATTTGGTTGATACAAAAATTTATGAGATAAGCTATTCTCTTTTTAGTGCAACTAATGACTGAACTACAAAATACAAAGATCATGTCACATATGCTTCTTTCTTTAAGCCTTCAAATTATTTCTCCTCATAAACTTATGCCATTTTATCTAAAGTAAGCTCATTTCAAAATTTTTGTTTAAAAAGAGATTATAAAGACATGAAAGACATGAATGTTTAAAAAAAAAAAAGTGCCAATGTAAAACACTAAAATTGGAAAATGTTAGTCAGTTTGCAACTGAAAAGAAGACAGGACACTAGATTAACCAGCAGAATTTTATTCTTAACTCTGAATTTTGTTCGGTTTGCATTATAATCTTTCCAATATTTGCAGGTAGGCTGTTCCATCTGACAACGTGTAGAGGATTTATATGATGAACTTCCATTAGCATTAATAAGAGCTACTGAAGTTCCCTTGCTCCCCGCCCCCACACCCCCATCATCATTCCCAAATACACACACTTTCAACATTCACAGAGTAATGACCACAATGTTTTTAAACCCCTATAAACACAAAAGTCAAAATGACACAGGCTAAGATTTGTCCAACAACTTGTATAAACCCAATTTCTTAAAGCTCTAAATTTTTTGAGATTCGTTCTCTTATAATACTGCCTCAAATTAAACAGGTGAGAAAGGGCTAGCCATTACCAAACTCAGTTGTTGTGGAATTGATTCTGACTCATTACTAGAGGTATATAATATAGTTTCAGGTGGCACTAGATAAGCAGGCATTCTCTATTCAGTTTACTTGCAAAACCCTTTACACTCATTTGTTTACCTCAAAAATCAATGTTTCACAACATGAACTTTCAGAGAGTAATATTTTATGCAATACTTAATAATCAATAAAAGACATTTAATATTCCCATTCTCTTCATGGCCAATAATCCCTATTGCTTAACCTCACATCAAGAAATGTAAAGCTTTTTCTTTTCCTTTCCTGTTCTTTCCTTAAGTTCTGATATTTAGATCCTATCTGACTGAATTAAGTGCTGTGAACACTTCAACTACAACTTCAGGAACATGATCTTCATTACATGTTTCCAAATTCGGACCACAATCATTTTAAGATCCTAAATCTTCTATTCAGTTGTATCCTGAGTTTATACTCCCGTGTAGAGGTTATTTTTTAAATCCATACCTTTCCAAATACACTTTTTTTTCATTGTTATTATTGTTTTATTTTATTTTACTTACATACAGATTCTAGTAACTCAGATAAAAACAGCTATGCAGTACTGATAGCCTACTGATACACTATGCTAGCAAAAAAAAAAAAGACCTTTTACTAATTATAGCTTCAACAAATGATTTTAACTTCATAGTTATTTCATATATCTAGAAATATACTTTTAATTTCCACATTTGAATGTTAGGTTTATTAACACATAAAAAATAAAATGGGGATTCTCTATTTGGGCAACAAAATCACATAAAGATTTGATTAAAATCAATACTCATTTTTGTTTTTGCAGGCATAAACACATGTAGTCTCCTAATCTATTTTCAAAATGACATACCTATAAAGCTTTATGAGAGTATTCAAATAATCAATACTATAGACTTTAAAAAATCAAGAATTCATCTAATATAAACCTCTTAACTAATAAAGAAATTGTCAGCAATCTAACCCCAAATGCAAAATGCTACAGAACTCCTGCTCTTCTGTAAGAAATAACATGTAACTAGTGGGGAGAATAAAATAAATGAGGTGACAAAATACAGGTAAGTTGCTTTCGGTATGAATCAAAGCCACCAAGAGGATTCAACAGTGACCTTGTAAAAGTACACTTGGTACCCTGGTTAACCTTACTTAAAGTGCTGCATAGTCAAGATGGAACTAAAAACACTAGTCTGCCCACTTCTTGTACTAAAGACTTAGAAATCCTTTACACAGAAGAACGCTGTTTACTGGACTGTACCCACAAGCTTCCTGAAAGTATTTTGACTAAGACTCTTAAGAAGCTCTATCAGCAGAATCTCTGACTAACAGATACACTATTTTAAGCAGTAAAATCTGCACAGTGGTTGCATCCAGACTATACAGCATACCAGATCATGAAATATGCTGAAATGGATGAGTATTTGCAAAGTAATGACCTTGAAAACTTGCAGGAAGAGAATGTGAATAGATGGACAGAAGGTATTACAACCCTAACAATCTGATTGGTCAGAAGACTTACTAGAATACTAACAAATGTTAGATTCCCCTACTATACTATAAATTCAAGAATGCTGCCTGTAATGTTTTAGCAAATGACACAAGTATTAATCATCTTACATTTGACACTTAGAATGAATTAAAATTAGGGTTAAACTGCATAAAAGATATACTATGTGTCTTGTATTTTATTCACTCATTTCTTAATCTACCTATCAATTATACAAAATTAAGATATGTTAAAACAATTTTTCCTATTGAAATTTCTACTATAATTTTGAATCCATTAAGTAGCATAAAACCACTGCCTTTAAAAAAAATAAAATTTATTTCTGGAACTTTGCCCATCAAAATAAAAACTTAATCAGGAAAATTAAAATACACATTCATTAAGAGTATGCATCTCCTAATGTCATTAAGCACTTTCTTATTCTGAAATTTAAAATATTATGCTATAAATTTGGATTCCTTAAATACCAAATTTTTTTACAAAGTAATCAAAATTTAAAAATTGGCAGTAATGTGCAACAAATCAGAAATCAGTATAAAATTAAATATATAACAGACATAAAATGTTCAAAACTAGTTTTAGTTTTGAATGTTTGACAGAGTAGGTGTTTGCTCCTTTTTTAAGCCTGACTAAAAAAAATCAGAAAAATTAAACAATGAGACATAAAGTTGTTGCTTTTGCTAATTCAGAATTCAAACAAAATAGCTAAAATTAAAACTATATTTAGAATACATACATTATGTACAACTGGTATTCCTTTAAAAAAAACTTAAAAGCTAAGTTTTCAACATGTATATTATGTAATTTGTGCATGTATTCTGCTAGTGACAGCTACAGATATTCTGAATGTAGCATTTATCTGTCCACAAGCGTAAGAATAATAAAAATGAGATTTTTAGCTTCAAATACATTAAAAGAAAATACAAATGAAACAAAATACACTTATGTTTCTTATTAAACCTTTTGCTGAACAATAACTTAGCAATGGAAAAATTCGAATTCTTTTCTAATGCTGTAGCTTCTAATCTATTTTTCAGTGGTAGCAGAATATAGACCATCACAAAACATATCAAAGTATATGGTAATACTAAAGATATATACAGAATACCTGCAATCACCAAGAGTTTTCATTAGCTGCTTTAAAACTTTCATGGGAGTTGTCTGATAGATGGGGTGTTTGAGAGACTAACATATTTCAATAATATTAGAATTTATGAAACCTCTCCCCACTATATCACTCACGTTCCAGTACATGAATGTGACACTACGCTTGCAACTATTTTTTTCAAATGTGTTTCCTCAGAGAGAAGAGAGAAGAAAGATGGGCTGGTTTATAAAGGCAATGAAGATAAACTGCTTTTAATAAAATACTTTAAACATATAATCTAACCATTGCAAGTGAATGGACAGAGCATTTTAAAGCCCCAATTGTTCAGAAACTAACTTAAAACAGAAACCACTCTTTTTTTGTTATTATTTCCCAGTATTTCCCACAAAATGTGCTGCAACTGGCATCTAAATAGTTTCTTTGCATGGTGAACTGAAACATCTTGAATGCTCAAACTGTATTTTTATGAGTGCCTGGGGACCCTAAATTTTAGTGGTCTATTAAATGCCAGCAATTTCATGCTGCCTTGCATAAAACAGCATTCACGTATTAGAGCACAGAAGTTCCATAGCTACATTATACCTCTGTTGCAACTTTCTCTCAAACAAAAACTCAAGCAGACGCTAATCAAAATAATATTTTAAAAATAATCCTTCCCAATCTTTTCACATTTAGTTAATACAATATCTGTTGACAATTGTATAGCATTGAATTTTTTTAAAACTTTTTAGAATTTTATAAGCAACTATTGTTTATCATTGAAAAATGTATAGTGGACAAAAAAAAGGTAGAGGTAAGGGGTGTATAAACTTTTTTCTCACATCCATGGCCAATATGCCTTCAGGGTAGATGCTGATGAAAGTTGACCTCCCTAAGCTAGATCTATTGATTACATGTATTTTCATGCAGCCACAAAATTTATTTTATACAATTCTGCCTTAAGTCTCATATTGTAAGATTTATACAATCTTCTATGTTAAAACTTTTTAGTCTCTTACCTGGCAACGTTATCCTTCTCAAAAAGAAATCCAGTCCTATCGTTTGTTTGTACTGTTTCCCAAAAGTTTCTTGAGCAAAACACGTAGCTAAGGAAGTCTAAAAAAGTTGATGCAGAGAATATCAAAATTAATTTATCTGTTTTAGAAATGTGGACATAAAAACACTACTAAATCTCATTAAGAATCTTAACATTTATATGCCCATTAATCCAAGAAGCAACTTTAAGCAGTTCTAATCAGTTACAAAGGGAGGAGGAATTTAACACTCCTCCAGGTAAATTTCACTTGCCAACTGTTATCAGTGGGGACAACAGGCTAAACTAATCCGTTAGATCTCTTTAAATCTCGATTGCCAAGCTCCTTCTCCTTACTGCAAAATATAATTGGAGATTTATCAACGGGAAAAACGAAAACAGCAAGATTAAAGATCTGGAATCTTATATATCCATACATGTCAGTTCAATAAAGATTTCAAAGAACTCTGTAAGTTTCATTTCTGAGGTTAAATATAGTCTAAGGGTAGTCTGTGCTCTCAGCTAATAATAAGAAATATTAATTAAGGAAAACCTGCGTATAGAACTTTTTTCCCACAAAGTATCTTTAAGTACCTAATTTTTATCTATATTTAAAATATTAGATAAAAATGATACTATAGAATGACTATGATAATATGCATCTTTTAAATAAAGTTGGTGTTTTTTTAAGATTAATGTAAAGCAGATAAAATAAATATTTTCCAGCCAAGAACTATAAAGCTAAAAAGCCACAAGGACATTATAACCAGAACAGATATACATCTACTTTTGAAAATAAAAACTCAAAGTTTTATTCAAAAACTCTGGTGCTTTCTTTTAGAGTACTACTTCTTATCAAAGCAAAAATAATCATTCATTTTAAATGCACTATTCTTATTTGTAAACTTCCCAAAAAAGAAAAAGAAGCTTTACTAAGCTTTTATATTCATCAAGAAAGACTCTCAAAGTTGAGAGAAAGTAGCACTTTTTTTTTTTAATTCTAAAAGTTAAACTTAGATGTTAGCTCTTAAAATAATGAAAAGTAAAATAAAATTTCCAAGATAGCTTATATAGTTAATTATGATGTAATTATAGCAATGCAAAAGAAACTCTGGCCAAATTTCAATTCCTTTAAACAAGACCTAAAATTCCTTTTGACACAAGAACCATATTTTTCACACAAACAGTAATTTGTGCACCCTAACTCCAAAGTTTTAAATATTTAAACACTCAGCATTTGTAATTAATTTCTAAAATATTTGGTCACATATTTATTGAACACTACCATCTGAAAGGAGTTCTGCTAGACATTAACAAATAAATGCACTATACCAAAATGAAAATATATTTGGCTTTCGTGAAACATGTAACAATAATATCAAAACTGAGAGATCAAGAATAAAAAAGGTAAGCATTCCTTTTTAAAGCCTTTTATTTTTCACGTAGCCTTAATTGTGCCATTGAGCTTAAGACAGCACAAAATCATCTGTGAAGGGGCTCAGAATTCTAGAGAAAAATAACTATCACCGTTCATATTACAGATATTTCAAAATGTTTACCATGTGGATGGTTGAAATGCTTTCAAAAGTCAAAGAGAATCTCAACGCATATGTAACATCAGCATGTCATTTAAGGTTATTTTTCACTTTCATTTAAGAGTCTCAATTCAACATTTTTATACTAATGAATATTCAGAAAAATTCTAAGTACTGTTTTTGAAACCTTTCTAGATTTTTAATTGGAATAGAGTATAAAGTATCAAAGTACAGGTCATTGGCAACACTGAATATTAAAATAGGTTCTTATCTCCTGACACATTGCTGGGGCGGGGGCACCTTTCTCTTCAAATATCTGGACTTCTCGCCATCTCTCACTGCACCAGCAGGGCTCCTCACATTCAGTAAGTTCTCACAAGTCATTGTATAAATCCCGTTCTTAAACAATTACAAAAGGAACAACTATCCATCATATCTAAAACATTTTTATCTGATTCTTTATATTTTTTGTTTGGAGAAACTGTGCTAACAATTTTTAATCATACTGCATTTACTAACTCTAAAAAGACTCCATAAAAACAGAATATTTTACTCAAAAAAGTATTAATACGAAATAAAATCAAAAGTATGAATCAGAACAGAAGAGAAACAGAAACACTTGTTACTAGGGGGAGGAGCTAAATTTCCTTTGGAGAAACTGTTAGTGGTCATCTCAGTTCTCTAGTGCTTCTGTCAGTATATATAAGAATGCCCAGAGTTAGAATTAGCAGGAAAAATTAATGCTAGAAAAAAATTGCCAGGAGTTAAATCAGGATACAAATAAGGATGAATGAGAGGTTAGGTTCATAAAAGGAATGGACAGTAAGGCAACAGAATGGGAATGTTGGTGGCTGCCAATAATTGGAGAACTGAATGGGATATGGGGAAAAAATGCTTGATGTAATATGAATAATGAAAAAAAGTTAGGTTCAACACTTGTGTCAGGAAATTTCTGGCAGAAAAAGCTATCATGGTTTGAAAATAGATAATTTAGTCAAAATGATGAAGATTAAGTCAGAGCAGCAGAATATCACTACTGTTATTCTTTGATGCAGGTAGTGCTAATTCAACAATATAGAAATGAAAAAATTATGCTTTGTCCTACACTGGACAGAATTTTTGACAGAGATTTTAAAAAAATACTTATTCAGACTAAATTAGCAACAACTAGGGGAAAATGTGTATGGTAGACTAAATGGAAAACTACATAGAAAATTATGAACAAATTCCAACTGAGTTATACACATATAACAAATACTGGGAGAAAAATGAGCAAAAATTTCAAGAATTATGAGAGAATGTAGGATGATGGTCAATTTTGGGATCTTTTTACAGGTGCATTCCTGTTATAGATTGTCATTCTAATTTTAAACAGAAAATAAACTCATTTATGAATTGACCTTAATATGATTTAGGAAATGAAAAATCAGAAGGCCTTCAAAAGAAAATCTAAAACCTGAGAAAACTATAAATGTATAACTTAAGATTCTTACTGAATAAAGGTGTTAGAAATAATGCTGAATTATTTATAACCATTCATTCAAAAATGCTTTTAAGTATACAAAAATGCATAAACAAAAGTGATCCCAAGTTCTTTTCTTCCTCAAAATGTTTAAAGATAATCAGAGCATATTAAGTTGCTTTCCTCAGCAATAAGAATCAGTAACAAAAGTGACAAGAAAGAAGTTAACAGAATTCTCCAAACTTAACATAGGAATGACATCTTTCCCAGGGGCCGTAAAAACTCAAATCTCAGGAGTGCAGGCATGAGCAGCAGTGCACTGCCAACTGCAGGGAGGATGCAAAGAGATGTCGTCACTACGAAAACCAGGGTCAAAATTACAGCAGTAACAGGAAAACGGGAAGCGCAGAACAGGAAACTGGTAGCAATTAGAGCCTGCGTTTCGGAAGACTCTAGTTGGAGAGTAGAAGGGAGAGAAACTTTAACAATATTTCCAGGACTGTAGGCGCCTTTGACAGAAGGGACAGAAGGGATCCTGCGCAGGATCCTCACTTCATTTGGGGGATGGGTCACAGACTCCTTTAAGATACTATGGGCCCTCTCTCCAAAGCAAGTACCAGGCAAAGTTACTCCATTTCAAGAGTTCCACAGACCTTGGGTTAAGAATCCATGCCTAGGACGTGAAGAGTCTGGCTGGCTGGCATGGATATTCTAACATCCATTCATTCCTTCAACCAACTGTCATCGAGGGTTAGACTTTAAGGCAGGGATTCCCTCTGTCATGCTAGCATTCAGCCCAGTAAGAGCTCAATGAATATTCGTTGAATAAATGCTTGTACTGTCAGGTGCTGTGCTGGGAACAAAGACGAACCACTAACGTTTACTGAGTGCACACCCCGTTCTAAAAGCTTTGTGTGTGTTTGCACAGTTAAGCCTCACAACAACCCTTTGAGGTGAGCCCTCTCCATAACCATTTTGCGGACGGGACACAATTAGGTTAGCAGCTGCCCTCCAATGACCAGACCAGTGAGTGATGGAGCCCCAATTCTCCCCCAGGGAATTGGATTCCAGAGCCAAGCTCTTGGGAACTCTCAGTGCAGTGGAGGCATAAGAAACGGTAAAGGGGTTCAGGGGTGGGAATATGACCTGGACTAAAGTCAAAGGAAAATGCCTCGCAAATCCTTGCCAGTCCTGACAGGCGAGACTCTGGAAAGCTTCCCAGTGGAGGGGATACTGGCCCGTGTCTTTTGAATGATAGGCAGGAGTTCGCGATCCAGACAAGGAGTTGGAAAATGACTTTTTTCCTTTTCTTTCTTTTTTTTTTTTTTAAAGGGGGAGCTGGACAGCTCTCGTCCGCCTTCGCTGGGCGCCTGCTTGGTGTCCCGCTCCCGGGCACCGCTGGGAGGGCCCGGGCCTAGAAGCCCCGGGCTTACGGTAACGAGGCGACGCCCGGCGGCGGGGAGGAGGCTGGGGGCGCCAGGCCGCGCTGGGATTCCTGCAGGCCCGGGACGGTGGGCTGATGCGAGGACTGACCTTCCCGGAGGTGCCGTCCCCCAATACGACGATTTTCAGTTGCCGGTCCTGGCTCTCCTCCTCAGAGTCCGACATGCTGTCCCGAGAACCAGGCCCGCCCCTCGAGGCGGAGGAGTGAGTGGAGGGAAGGGGCTCCGGGGGCGGGGGAGAGGAGGAAGGACGGCACTCGAAGGAGAACCCCCCGCCCCGGGGTCTCCGCTGCTGCTGGTGGGATCCGGGGCCAATCATTCGCCAGCCGCCATCTTGCCCGCCTCCCCGCCCCCTGCGCGGGACCCCGCCCCCTGCGCGCCGCGTCTAGCGCGCGCCCCCGCCTTTGCTCCAACCCGCGCCGACCGCGAGCCTCCCTGGCTAGCCGGGCTAGTCGCGGGCCTGGCCTTGGGGAGACTTTGCAGACCGAAAGCGAGACGCGCCCCTGCCCTGGCAGTGACAATTGACAAGAAGAAAGTATATAGTAAAACCAGGCAGAAATATGGGAGCAGAGTATCTCTCAGGGGTTGTATCAAAGTCCCATGTTTCCTGCCCCCCTCTTGAGACTGTCCCTGAGGCGAATGGTTCAGCCCTGGGTTGCAGGGGCGGACTGAGGCCAGGACTGCGCGCCGCGGTTGCCAAGGATGTCAGGAGTAGGAGGGGCGGTGTCGGGGCGGGGCATGTCCCTGGGCACCCAGGACGCCAGTTTCCTAGAGGAGCGCGGCGCCGGGGCTGGTGTAGGCTCCGGAGGTCGCTTCTCGGAAAAGGGCGAGCCAACAGCAGCGGCGGCAGTAGGGCCCGGAGGAGCGGACGATTGGTAAGGGCCGCGCTGCGGGGCAAAGAAGCTGCTGTAGCGGCCGCGAGTGTTAATGAGGGCTATATGAGCTTTGAACCTGGCGCTACCTCTTATTTCGCCCTCCAACCGTTGGTTTCCTGTCTGATCAACGGCAGAGCCCAATGATTCATTCATCAGGTATGCACTGAACGCCAGCCTTCTAGCACAGGATCTTTACCACAGAGCAACAGTTCTCAAAATGAAGTCTGAGGGGAGTCCCACTGAAGTCAAAACGATTTTCACAATCACACAAACACGTTAGTTGCCTTTGTCACATTCAGTCTCAAGTATACAGAGAAAATTTCCAGAGGATGTATGACTATGACGTCATCACTCTGGCAGCTAAGGGAATGTGTGCCGGTGAATTCTTCTGTTCAAACATTTTTCATATTAATTTCAATGTAGTGATGATAGCTATAGGGTCGCTATGAGTCAGAAGCGAATCTACGGCAAGGTGGTTGGTTTAGTTAATGATAGCAATGCGGGGCAGAGGTAGTGCAGTGATAGAATTCTTGCCTTCGTTGCAGGAGACCTGGGTTCCATTCCCTGCCAATGGTCCTCATGGGCAGCCACCACCCGTCTGTCATTGGAGGCTTGTGTGTTGCTATGGTGCTAAACAAGTTTCAGCAGGGCTTCCAGACCAAAATGGACTAGGAAGAAAGGCCTGGTGATCTACTTCTGAAAATCAGCCATTGAAAACCCTATGGATCACAACAATCTAATCTGCAATCCACCATGGAGATGAGGCACGGCTGGGCATGAGTGCACAGTGTTACCATGAGTGGGGGCCAACTGGCAGCAGCTAACAACAACAATGATAGCTATAACCCACATAAACAAAAGTTCTTTTGGGGTTCACAATAATTCTTAAAGGTGTAGAGAGGCTCTGAGTGCAAAAAGTTTGAGAACTGATGCCCTGAATGATCACAGTTCAACATAACTAAAAATTATAGTGAGATAAATAAAAGAATAATAATTCTGGTCTAACAGTGTTTGTCTCATTAATCAATAACTTTACATGGATTACCACATTTACTAGTTATAGCAACCCTAAAAGGTAGATACTAGAATTATCTCCATTTTACAGATGAGAAAGCTTAAGTCACAAAAAGCGTAGCTCAGAGGCAATAGTCCTGGAAAGAATATGGGAATTAGAATGGGAAGGGAATACAGTGTAAAGAAGTGCCCAGCCCTGGAGGCAGCACAGAAGTAATCACAGCCCTGCATCTACTACATGTGACCATGAGCCACAGTTTCCTCATCTGTAAAATAGAGGTACTACTTCCTCCATGGTATGGATTAACAAAGTGGCTGCAACAGTGGGCTCAAGCATAGCAATGATTGTGAGGATTGCGCAGAACCACGCAGTGTTTCATTCTGTGGTGCATAGGGTCACTATGAGTTGGAACCAACTCGAGAGCACCTAACAACACCACCATCACCTCCTTCGTAGAGTTGAGAATTAAAAATGAAATAATTAATATAGAGTGACATAGCACAATGCCTGACATATCCTGTTAGGTTATTGTTAGTACTGTAACATGTCGTGACATATCCTAAGTACTCAATATTAACCATTATAATTATCGCCCTTATCATCATTGTTAGAATGATGGGAGCTGATCTATGTTGGAGCATTACCATATTCAAGCCATATTACCTTAGGCAGGTTGCTTATGTACTGTCTCAGTCTTGTCATCTGTAGAAAGGGCTGGCCTGCAATAAGAGGTACCAAATTAGTATTAGTTCCCAATTCTGTCCCCATTTCTGCCACCAACAACAACCTTCTACATCCCTGGTTTTGCTAATGAGAATTAGAAGGAAAAAAGTACATCAGAGAAAAAAGGTACATGAAAGGGCTTTGTAAACTTCTTTGTGTTTATTAGTTTGATAAATATGCTTCTAGTGAGGATAGATTTAATTTCTTCCTTTTACATGAGGAAGTATGCTAGAAATTTGCTTTTCCAGTCTTCTTCACTGGCGATGGATATGAGACCCACTTTTGACCAATGTGACAGAAGAGGGTATCCTTTGGGGTACTTCTGGGAAAGACTTTATTTCCTGATTATGAGGGAAAAAAAAAAAAAAGGAGAGCAACACATACACACAACCTCCCCTTCCGTTGCTATCATTATTGAGTGAGAACATGAAATTACATGCTTCTTCAGTCTATGTTTTCGGCTTGCTATTATGGGAAATAGTATTATTCTAGTGAGATACACCATTACCTGTGGACAAAAACATCCCAACTGGCACAACTACTTTTGGTCAAAAGCTGGATTTTGCTAAAGTTGTGGGACTAATTTTCATGTACAATTTCATCTGAAGAGAAATCTAGAAGAAAATTTCCCAACTTCAAATCATCATGTCCAAGATGACTGCTGAACTGATGGACAGACAGCACTGGTTTGGCTATGAGTGCATCCCTAGGATGTAGTTCCAATATGAAACAAAAAACCCATTGCAGTATTTTAGTGATCAGATTTTACATATTTACGGCAAGATTCCAGGTTTAAAATTAGAATTTGAAAACTTGCAGCCATATTTAAATTAAAAAGAAAAACAGTCGCATTGAAAGCTTCTGGTATGGTGTTAGAAGAGTCATGAGTATTATAACAAATGAAGAGCAAAAAAAATATGGAACTTATATGTGATCACATAATAACCACTACTAGAACCAGCTACTGCTTCTGAGGTGAAGTGCCATTGTTGAACAAACATTGACAGAGATCTCAAGTAAACAGGAAAGATCAAGCTCCTGATTACTCCTACCTTCCAAACTCCTGCTGGGGTCCCCCCCTTAGCAGAACAGCACAATATCAGTTGTTGGAGAGGTTGTGGATCAACTGGAATTCTTCTACATTGCTTTTACAGAGTACATAGAAACACTTTAGAAAACAATTTGGCATTATCTTGTAAAGCTAAAGTTTGCATAGTCTATGTCATGGATTGAATTGTGTCCCCCAAAAATATGTGTCAACTTGGTTAGGCCATGATTCCCAGTATTGTGTGATTGTCCTCCATTTTGTGATTGTAATTTTATGATAAAGAAGATTAGGGTGGGATTGTAACACCATTACTAAGGTCACATCCCTGATCCAATGTAAAGGGAGTTTCCCTGGGGTGTGGCCTGCACCACATTTTATCTTACAAGGATAAGAGGGAAGGGAAGTGAGCAGAGAAGGGGGCACCTCATACCACCAAGAAAGCAATCCTGGGAGCAGAGTGGGTCATTTGGACCATGGGTTCCTGCACCAAGAAGCTCCTAGTCCAGGGGAAGAATAGTGAGAAGGACCTTCCTCCAGAGCCGATGGAGGAAGAAGGCCTTCCCTTGGATCTGACACCCTGAATTGGACTTCTAGCCTCCTAGACTATGAGAGAATTTGTTAAAGCCATCCACTCATGGTATTTCTGTTATAGCAGCTCTAGATCTCTAAGATACTCTATAACCCAGCAATTCAACTTCTAGGTGAATACTCTAGGAAATCTCATGCATAAATGCACCAGGAGACGTATGCAAGAATTTTCACGGACTCATTTTCATTAGAGAAATAACCAAAGGTCCTTCAACAGCAGAGTGGATAGATTTTTGGCATATTCACACAAGGAAATACTATACAGCAAAGAAAAAAATGAATGAACTACAGGTACGTGGATTAATCTTAGAAATACAGTATTGAGTGAAGAAAGCTAATGCCAAAAGACAACATGCATTGTTGTTGTTGTTAGGTTCCGTGTCGTCAATTCCAACTCATAGCGACCCTATGTACCACAGAATGAAACACTGCCAGGTCTTGTGCCATCCTCACAATTGTTGCTATGCTTGAGCCCATTGTTCCAGCCACTGTGTCAATCCATCTCCTTGAGGGTCTTCCTCTTTTTCACTGACCCTCTACTTTACCAAGCATGATGTCCTTCTCCAGGGACTGATCCTTCCTGATAACATGCCCAAAGTATGTGAGATGTCGTCTCACCATCGTTGCTTCTAAGGAGCATTCTGGTTGTATTTCTTCTTACTATACCATATATACAAAGCTCAAAAATAAAATGTATATACATGTATATATTTACATACATAATGAAAACTGTCTCAAAATAAAAGCAAGAAAACGATAAACATAAATTTCTAGTTAGTAATAACCTCAAGATGGGAAGAAGAAGGTAGATGAAAAAAGAGTGGAATCGAAAAGGAGATACATTATTATCAATGTTTTAGTTCTGAGGTTGAATTATGGTTTAACAAGTTGTCACAGATTGAATTATGTCCCCCCAAAAACGTGTGTATCAATTTGGCTGGGCCATGATTCCTGGTATTGTGTGATTTTCCCATATGTTGTAAATCCTGCCTCTGTGATGTTAATGAGGGATGATGGGTGGCAGTTGTGTTAGTTAAGGCAGGACTCAGTCCACAAGATTGGATTGTGTCCTGATGCAATCTCTTGAGATATAAAAGATAGAAGTGAGCAGACAGACAGGGGGAC